ATGTCGCAATAAAAATTGTTTAAAAGGGACAGGCGGAAATGACGTACAAGACAAAGAACTGGAAAAGAAAAACTAATTCTTGGGTTGCACGTGACGTCACCAAAAATCAAACTTAGAAACTATCGATTCTTCTAAGTTTCTACTTTCACGAGGTATTACAGTACCTAAACATCTTTACATAAACGAATTTTTGGTTCGAAAGGGTTCTTCGTTTTGCGAGAGAGGGCTGCTTGAATTTTCAGGCTTTTGCGTGACGCGGCATTTAGTTGGCGGCCGGGAAAGCTCTTATGTGGGTTAAAAACATTACCGATTTTGGGAGATTTTGCAATCCAAACAGTCCTTGTCTCAGAATAAATATTACTGCAACCTTTATGAATTCACGCATTAGTAGGAAAACTCGAAAACAGATGTTTCTGTTGGTATCCGGCGGCCATATTGGCGTTCCTGAAAGGGACACCAACATGGCGTTTCCATACAAAGCTTTATAAATTTAGGTAAACCGTTTTTCCCAATATCTCGCATTTGAAATATTTCACAGACCTGATTCTTGGCAAGGGTTTTTTTATATTTATCTTTTTTCATTTCCCAGATTCTAGTCCTTCTGTATTGAATGGTTTGCATTTTTATTTTTCATTACGTGACAGTGCAAGCCGAGAATAAGGATATGGATTACACTCTGATTCGTCACGGCGGTTTAGGCTATTAAGTTTAAGAGTCATAGCCTTATCTATCAAATGCGACTCCCTAGCTAGCCTTACGAACTGAGTCACGTGAAGAATGAATTTTCTCTAGTGGGATTAACTGCATGTCAGTATGAGAATGGTTAGAGTGAGAGAGAAAGTGTTCAGAAAAAGTAGTGGGCTCAGATTTAATGTTAGTTTTGTCGACTGCACGTCTGTGTTCGTTGACTCTGTCCTTGAGGCGTCGCCTAGTTTCACCTATATATTGTAAATTACAACGGTTACCTTGAACCATGTAGATCACGTTTTTAGTGTTACAAAGAAATTTGTGAAGTTATGGCGCGTGTTTCACCTGTAGCGTACAAAGTATAGCTTGTAAGGCCGCTAGTAATGTATGGACAAGTGGCATAATTTTGTCCACAGCGGAAGGAGCCTGGCGGAAAATGCTACTTAGAGATACTGGGTAATTGTGCTTTAGCTAAAAGGACATGAAGGTTAGGGCTACTACTTGAGGGCGTAAAAAATCGACTACACCGGCCACAGTGAAAAGAGACTTTTCCACGAGAAACAGAAATGGCTGGCTAACGCCTCGTTGGTTGGTTTCTAGCTTACAGGGAAAAGTAACAGCCAATTAGACATTGGCGAAATGTATGCATAATGGGTACACAGAACGATCTGAGAAGCGATTTCACGATGGAACACCATGTGGAGTGGCTTCTGCAGGAAGTGGATGTAGAATCATCACCTCAAACTGTTGTCCACAACATTCTGCAATGGACGAACCGATCGCCGCGGGAACAACGCGCAGGCTTCTGAGCCCGCTTTTCCCGGCCTTAATCATCCTCGGAGACCCAGGGGCAGATAGTGGGGGCGAGAGAAAGTCTAAACGGGCGGAAAAATATGGCACGAAGAAAAGTAAAGAACGGCGAGAAGAGCCCCTGGGGACAATGTCTTACCAGACCAGTTCCAGACGGTCGCCGCTGTTCTGGCTTTTGATTGGTGACAGAAAACTTGTGTTTTTCTGGCACCAATCAGAAGCCAGAACGGCGACGACTGTCTGGAAGTGGTCTGGTAATACATTGTCCCCAGGGGCTCTTCTCGCCGTTCTTTTTACTTTTCTTCTTGCCATATTTTCCCGCCCGTTTAGAATTTCCCTCGCCCCCACTATTTGCCCCTGGGTCTCCGAGGATGGGCCTTAATGAGAACCAAAAAAATTCGGAACACCAAACCCGCAAGCGCCGGTCAGGACAATAGCAGTGACAGTGAACCCATATTTTTTGAAAATTTCTGTCACTCCTTCGAAAAGCGGCAGGCTTTTTGCTCTCTCCGCAATCTCTGTTTCTCCTCTTCACGCTCAGCTACTCGGGCTTCAGCGGCTTCTTTTTCAGAAGGCAAGTGTTTGCGTAATTGATTAATGCTTTATCTTCCCAGTTTTGGCGTTCAAGCTCGGATTCTTGGTCCCTAAGGTCGTAGAGTGGTTTCGTGCTGTTGAGTCCTTCTTCGGGTGTGTTTGTTTCCTTTTCCTTGGAAGCAATAGTTCTCAGATTATCGACTTCTTTTTGTGATTTCTCCATCTTTTTTTGTTGTTTTTGCGTATCACAAAGCTCTTTTTTAGCGTTTTCAAGATCAGCTTGAAGGTTTTTTTCAGTAGTTCGAGGCATTGCAGTTCGCCTTCACTTCCATGTTCTTCATCAAAAGCATCAATCTTGGCTTGGGTTTGTTCGATTTTGTTTCTCAAAGTTTGCACCTCATCATTGGCTCGTTGGCGATCGGCGGCAATTCTTTTCTTCTCTCGTAGTTGTTTATCCGCCTCTCGTAATCGTTGTTTTTCTTCTCTGATCGATTTATTTTCGTTTGCTATGATATCTTCGGCTTTTGGCCCAGGAGCATTTTTGAGTCTACCTGTGAATTATTTCAGCAGGCCCGAATCGTCTTTCTTTAAAATGTCTTTTTTTTTTTGGGCCCAAACGAAACTATTTTAGCTTCATCTCCTTTTTTGCTAAACCCGATTCGCCCAAGTTTGGCAAAGTTGACTTTCGGAAATCTTCTCTTGATAATGTCAAGTATTGCTGGTTTGTCGTCATCGAGTAAAAAACCTCCAATCAGAGGTATGTTTTCATCGAAAACAATTAGACTAACTGCGAGGTTAAGACATATTGTTCTCAGTTGCACCCTCCTAAATTTTATCAGTCGCCAATCGCACCTTACCTAACTTGAGGGCTTATCTCTTAGACAACGCGTTTAAAACTTTCCTTGACCAAATTATTTGTCCTTCAAAAACGCGCACTGCGTTTAATACATTTTCCTGAAACAAACGACCACGTTAAAGAGGTTTCTGGCAGCCCCCTTTGTTCTTCAGGAAGCATATGGATTTCCATTTTTTCACCTACGTGGCAAGGGGTGAATGCAGAGCCCGGTTGAGAGGGTCAGGTGCGGTTAACTCCTTGCTCGTCATCGTCATCATCTTCATCATCGTGGTCGAGGTGTAAGTCAAGGTCGGCGTTCTAATTGACAAAACCGCCTTCTGCCATTTTATATGTATATGTATAATGGACGATGGAGTTGTCATAAAAAAATTCTTCGACCAACGCACAACGAAAAAACGCTCGGCGCTATGAAGGCCGAACGCACTTATGATCATATTATGAGAGACGAGGTAAAGACCTTTTCAAAAAATGCTGAAAGCAGGCTCAACATAAAGGTGAACCCTCAGCGAAGGTCACTCATGGGAATCCTTCTGCTCTTCATTGAACCCTGCGCAGCTGGCGCCCGAGACTCGAAAAAATACGTTAACCCCGATATCACCAAAATGACGTCACGGTGAACGGCTCGAGCAAAAAGGTTTATGATAACGGAATCGATAGGAATGACATGTGGAGAGATCAGCCGTTTCTTTTATCCCCCAAAAAGGTACAAGCAACATGGACCTGACCAAGTTCTACGCTGGGGACAAGTTTGGGTTTTTAATCGACTTACGTCCCATGGCGGACACCAAAATGCACGGCAGTGACGTCTTTCTTGTGAACACCAAAGACGGTGTGTTCCTTGAACTCGACAGAAAGATCTCTGGCTCGGAAAATCTGAAATGCCACGTCACGTCTTCACAATCAGCGATTCTCAGATGAACATTATGGACAGACAGCTCCAGTCTGGGCAGCATTAAATATAAATGGACCCAAACAACATTCCTTTTAACGCTCTGATCGTGGGCCAGACAAACTCCGGTAAAACCCAATACCTTGTGCACCAGCTGAGGGGCTGTTTTCGAGGCAAGTTTGATGGTTTTGATATGCCCAACCTTTGTTCGCAACAAAACCTACGTCGGGTTTGTGGATCACGATTCGCGTATTTTTGTCATTGATTGCCCGCAAGAAGAGGTCAAAGTCTGGCTTAGACTTCGCAGCTATTTTTTCAGGGAAGAAATACGCTTATTGTTTTGGACGATTGCGCTGTCTCGAAGGACGTGAAAGGCCGCACAAGTTAGCTGGTTTCTCTCGGCTTTTCAGCACGCCATGCAGGCATAAGCGTTTGAGTTTTGACACAGCAGATCACCAGCATTGCAAAACCCTTTCCCTGAAAACGTGGCCGCCATTGTTCTGTTTTATCACTCCGTCGGCCAAAACCGCGAGAGCATCTTTGAAGACTCCGCCGGCGAGCTTTCCTCCCAGGAGTACAAGAAACTGATGGCGGAGCTGAAAAATAAAAATTTCCTTATCTGGTCTTTGCCCTTCACCATTCCTACGGTATCAAACCTCAAAATTCAAAACTTTGGCTTTAGACCATGGCTGCTGCCAAAGAACAAGCGCTGAGCGAAGTCATGTAAGTGCTGGAGGTCACTCCAGACAGTTAGGTCGAAACCCTCAGATTTGTCTGTTTCGCTCCCTGCCAACAACGTTCCAGAAGAACATGAAAAGCTGGCTGTGCTTGTTTCTACGGGAAAATCCAAACAGGCGCTGGGCGCTCAACTTTTTCATGACCAGGTGAAACGCCTCTTGGACAACGGTGTGGATAATTTTTACAAAGGATATGAGGCCTAAGTGGGTAGCACCTGCTGAAGTTCCAGAGTGTGTTTTGTCAAAAGATCCTACAAAGTACAACAAAACATCCTGGGGGACTTGCGGCTAATAGAAAGGTACCAAAACGACCCAGCCTGGTAAGTGAGGCAAAAAAGGACCAAAAAACGCCCCTGCAAAGCATTTTCTTAACCATTTAGCCATTTTTATTTTAGTCTTAAGATTTGAGCCATTTTCACAACTTTTAACAAATTTTATTGCTTAAGTAAAGCGCTTTAATGAACTTTATTAATTAAGGACTCACTCTGCCAGGCGTATTATTTATCGCGGATTATCTATCTATAGTACAAAAAAGGCTGTCTTGGTACAGCCAGTTAATGTTATTATAATTCAATTAATATTTTCGTGCAGATTGACCGCCAGCGGATGATGGTCTGTTCATAAGCAGTTCGGTCTCTTTCTTTGGGAAACGAGGCTCTACGTTTCCTGATCTATTGTATTATTATTTTGGCGTCGCCCAAATTGACTAATCGAGTTCGCTCGTTCTCATTCAAAGTTGCAATAGGCACGCAATACGTGCGAAGGTAGACAAGCCAAGTAAGCAAGCCAAGCGACGCGAATGTCTGCCGCGCGCTGTGTCACAACACAGCATTTATCTTCGTTACATACGACCCACAGATAACGCACGGCAAACAAATCAGCAATAGAAAACAAACTGTTTAGAAAAAACAAAGTACACTGAGTGAAACAAACTATAGTTTAAACTGTCCATTTGGAAAAAAATCGACCTCGCAGCACACGGTGTGAATGGTTTGCCTTATTGCCAAGAGTTTGACACTATTTTTGCTCTCAGTTTTCGAGCGCCAAAGAAGATGTCACGCAGACTTCCATGATCTCGTGCACGAGATTATTAAGGGTAACATTAAATGATGTACAATTTCATTGCATATTTTCGGAAAGGAGGCGATTTCTTAAAATCTTATTGAGCAAAATGACCTCGTAAAATGAGCCGTAAAAGGGGCAGGGACAAACATCTTCAAGCGCAAACCGCAGTCTATTTTTAAAACCCTTGGGTTAATTACATTAAGTCGTAGGTTGTTTACCATTTACCTAATTTCCCGGAAAATCCGGTTGGAAGTCAATGGAAAAGGACTTTTTTGGGTCGTTCCATCGAAAAATGTCCGGGAGCAACGGAATATCTGAAAGAATAGTCTTGTTTTTCCGGACGGAATATTCCAAACGAAAATTCGTGTTCCATTACTTCAAAGCCATCTTTTATACCGAGTTCAGGCGTTCGCAGTCGTCTTTCGGTAAATGGAACTGATTTGTACAAATGGTAAAAGAGATTGCGGGACGAAATTAACCAGTGCTGAATTTTGCCTACCATTTGCCCACCGCGGACCGACCGGTTTGCCCATGTAAATGGTAAACAACCGTATTCTGTCATACACGAGCCACGAAAGTGGCAAATTCCAAACCTCACTTGCAAACTGTTTGACAATACAACTCACAGTAAGGGCCTGATCACACGAGCCGGGGAAGCAATGCGTAGGAACAGTGTGTTACCCGCTTGGTTCATTCGCCGGGCCGCCCGGCAAGCGTAATTACTTGGAAAATTTCCACTCGGGATCCCGGCATCACAATACTGGGATACCAGCTAGCCGGGCTGGCTCGGTTGTAATATAATCACAAAGTTGATTTTTCTTGCGTTTAACTAAGGTGCCGGGATCTCTGCAAAGCGAACCAACCCGGCTCATATAATCAGGCCTTTAGTTCTACAGCCAGATTTTACCCCCTCCCCTTGACCTCACCGATTTTTCAAAGCCCCCGAGCTCAGACACAAAATTTTAGTCCCCCCCACTCAACATCTTCATACCCCCTTTTCTATGTTAAATGAACTTCTGGCCTTATCCATGCTCTCTTCATACAAGTACAGTTGAATCCCGATAACTCGGGATTTCCGTCATACATTTACTGTAATTTCACCCTTGGTAACTCGATCCTTCCGCTAACTCGAAGTAATTTTTGTTTTCTCTCAGATCATTTCTACATAATTTTACCCTCGATAACTCGAACCATGTTTTGAGCGTTTTAAAAAGTCGGGAAAAAAAACAGTGCGCCGGCGTCCGAAACATTCTATTAAGGCCCGATTCAGACGCCGAACTTTTCATGTACTTAATTCAATGTATTAGGTTCGGCTCATGAAAAGTGCGGCGTCTGAACCTGGCCTTAGCCTATGTTTTGTTGCGTTTACGTTGTGATTAGGCTCGATTACCAGCCGCTGTTCGGGAAAATGAGCCCGCACTCAGAAGTATCTTTCAATTTTCACCTACCTTTTCTACAATTAAATGTGATTAAAATGTTCACTGTACAGTAAAAACTAGTTTTTCCCTTACTTCCGGCTAATTGGTTCTTGCTCCCGATAACTCGAACTTTTTTCGATTTCTCTTGAAGGCTCGAGTTATCAGCATTCGACTGTACTATCAAAAATAAGCGAAAAAGAATCCTAAACAGAAAGCCTAACAACGTTTAAAGTGAGTACATCAAGTATGTTTTTAAGTATTGATAAGACTTTTCACACACTATCCCTTCATAACCAAATTTGCACTTCCACAACTACCTCACTGCAAAACCAAAAATCACTTTCACCTCCCCAAATAGTTTTTTTTGTTACTTCATATTAAATTCTACGAGAAACAAGTTTCACTGATTAACAAACTACAGCCATTATCTAACCAATTCACGTCCAATATAACTCCAAGTCTTCCACTTCACGTATCTCTACCAACCCCTAAAATATACAACGCTTCTGCAGTGCACTACTCACACATCCCTAATACACATAAAAAACTCTAAGCATGCCTAGTACAACGACGCCCAAATATACGCTCCCACGGCATCTTGTTGAACTCGGTTCGCAAAAGATCGTGATGTGTCAGTGTTTTGAAGATCAATAATTTACCTTTGCTCTTGTTTCTTATATAGTACAAACCTATACCGTCAGTCTTCTGAATGTTTTCATCCGTACTGGACTGTCGTCCGTATTGATCTGATTTTTTCGTCCATGGGGGAGCATCCATGACATAATTGCAGAAATGACTGATAAAATAACTGTTTTCATTATACCATCTGTAGCATCTTTTACACTAAAAAATGATTGCCCATTTAAAATAGCTATAGTAACAAGTGACACAACAGGAAGTAACAAAGGCAGATAACATATGGCAGATTTAAAGTTAGTGCGCTGAATGGTGCGAAAGTAACTATACAGTACCAAGATGAGGACAACAATGACAACATAAATAAACAGAAAAACTGTAACACCCCACAATACGTTCATCAAAACCCCAATAACAACCCAGCAAAAATGATAAGAGGTCATGGATGCCAATATAAAGATAATAACTTGTAGTACTGCGCATTTACAGTTTTTTAGCTCTGGTATTTTTTTAAGAAAACAAATACCTCCAGCAATCAGCCCCTCAAGCATTATTATTATCAGAATTGATACAATATGGCACTTAACAGGAGCCTTACTTTGGGCTGATAACACAGTAGCTGCAATAAATAGTCCAAGCTCTACTATCAACATGGTTACTGAAACCCATTTTAGAGCATTGTACAGGGCCTTTTCATGACGTTTCACATTGTCAAAATATATGAGAGTATAAATGGCCAGCCAAGGGCTAAGAAAGAAAGCGAAACAAAAAGAGAGCCACATTGTTGCTAGTATATAAGATTTACGTCCTGCATCTGTCAGGTTCGGTTCATGTCCCTTAATGACACACTCTGCTGTGTTTAAGCTTGGATCCTGTATTCCTGGACTGACAGTGAGATCTTGAAGCTGAAAGAAAAAAAATTGGGGTTTTCAACTTTATTTACATGACAATGACAATTGCAGCAAGGAGCCCAAAAGTGTGACCTCTATTGATTTATTCACATTCTTTCGTGCAGATTTAATCCAATCAGAATCCAGCTGGACACTGTCCTCGACTTCTGATTGGTTGATGTATGCATGAAAGAATGTGAGTTAATCAAAGGAGGTCACACTTTAGGGCTTCTTGCTGTAAATCCCTTTCATAAAAATTCAATTTTCTTCTCTAGAGATGAAGGAGGTGAAATGTGAAGAGGTCAGTGGGTAAATGCTTTCCAACTTGAATGTTTCAGTGGTTCATAGCCTCAGTTCACCTTCATTTCCTACCCTGTAAGCAGAGGTTTCTCTCTTGCATAAGCTTCTGTAAAGCACTTTAGGGTGAAGTAGGTATCCTCATTAAAGATTGTCATTATTATTATTGTTAGCGTTTACGAAGTTATTCCCGTGGCTTGCCTGTCGCATGGTTGGTTGACTGACAAGCCACACAAAGGACTTTTAATAATGTTATTAATGTTAAAAGCCATGCAAGAGGAAAACCTTTGCTCACAGGGTAGTCATTTCCCCGAAGCATAAGTGTTAGGTGGGGTTATTGCAACAAAAGGAAGAAATAGAAACTCCTGCACAATAATAAGTTTTTGGACAATGAGAATGAGTGATACAAGCATCCTTTAATCAGGATAAATGGTAATGTTAATGCAACCATAAAAGTGAGAAAAACTATACATGTACACTTGCGAAAATGTGAAAGTAACCTGTTACCCCCACATGATAGTTTTGGTCCCTGAGTTGAAGGAAGGGGTCCCGACATGATGTTTTCAGACTTGTGATATCTATTAGTGACAAGTCACAATCAGTGTGTTCCCCCTCAACTTGCAAACCTTTTTTTAGCAAGGACCCAAAGAAAAGTAAAAAAAGTGCAACTTTTAGTTACTAGGGAGTACATCTATTTTTTACCTTCTAGGAAGTACATCAGTCTGTCTTGGTGTGATAATAATTCCCAAGAGAAATTAGAAACAATGGTTAAGCAAAATGTTGGAGGGAAAATGATGAGTATTATGGTATTTTTTAAATAAGACCTATGTCCATATTCCTAATTCCCTCATGAAAACCAAACCAATGTTTCTCCCTTTTTAAATCTGCATCTAGCTGTGGCTTTAATTCAGCTGTTAAGCCTTGGTGCTAAAAAGCTAAAAAGGCTTGTCTGAAAATTCAAAAAGTTTAATATCCATACCTATGTAGCAAATTCCTATTAAAGAGATACTACAGGTTAGGTATAAAGGTAATGTGGGGTGGAAGACTTCTCTTTTGTTAATACTGCATATATTTACAAACTGAAGATTCTTTTCTTTGTCTTGGAAATTTGGTAGGTTTTTCCTTGGGGGGAAGGTTATGGTGAGAACTATTTGGGAATGAAAGAAAAAAAAACACATAACCCAGGCTCTTCATTTCATATCAAACAATATTTCTAGGAGTTTCATTTACATATTACTTAAACTACATGCAAATGAAAAGGTACCCAAACTTACATATACACAGAGAAAACAACCTGAGAATTCCTATCCTAAGTGTATATAATTTTACAAACCTTATGGCATTATTCAATTATTCAGTTTTAGTGCAAATTAAAGTAATTTCTCCTATTTGACTTAACTATGTTATCAATAAGTATTAAGTTCATTTTATGAAAAAAAGAAAGGACTTTTTTGGTATGTTTTGGATGACTGGACCTTGATTGGTGGTGCAGCTTTTAGTCACCCCTAGTTCCCATTACTTTTATACCCTAGTACCCCAGTCTCCTTCCCCTGGGGAAAAAACATTAAAATCTGCAATTAATATGGAGAGCAACTCTGTCAATACTTTTCTGGAATAGTATTATTACCATCAAACTCAGAAAACTGTGAACACCTGAAAAATTTCAGGAATGTTGATTTTGTACTGGCCAATCACAATCCGGGAGGAGGGGGGGGTACTGCCATATATGGGCTATATAGGTATGTGCCGCTGTGAAGGGTATGATTTTCAAGCAGTTTACTCTAGGATAGGTACATAAATCAGAACATTTGGGTCTAGAATAGGGTATCATTTTTCAGGAAACTGATCAGTTGGTTGAAGATTTTATCTAGACTTAAGAAACAGCTACTCTAGGATAGGGGGATTTGGGGAGTTTACTCTAGTATAGGGTAGCAAAACTTAGCTGAACTAGCTCTGGTATAGGTTAAGGGTTCCAAGGTCCCAGCGGCACATCCCCACCCCGAAATTCCTAAAGTAACCCCCGATCACAATAAAGTTCAGGATACAAAAGCAAACCTTAAAACCACAACCTAATTACCATTGCCATTTGCGGTTTAGTTATTTCGCGCCTTATTGGCTTATTTCTCTCAACACAATAACATTCTATAAGTATTTCTGGTGTTCATGGTTTTATGAGTTTCACAGTAATTCATTTACACCTTTATACTTCTTCCTCAGAAATATGGCAAAACTGATTTGTTAAAAGGCATTTCTATTGTTTTGTTTTCCCCTCTATCTAGTTGGCTTTTATGAGACTTAATTAAGAGTGACATCTACTGCTGCATCTTGCCAATTTGCAGCACAAGAACATCCCATAGTTAACACTTTATCAAGTCAAATGGTGGATTAAAAGATCCTTGAAACCTATGTAAATGAATAAAAATTAATATAAATGATTCTTGTACTCTTCTGATTATACAGTACTGTATTTGAGGGCAATTCCCAAATATTTCCAATAATATATATGTCATTCTCCTCCCACCCTTGGAGCTTACATATGGAGGAGCTTTTTATGAGAGGTAGAGTTTCAAATTTATTGTTGACAACATAATGATAAGTAAACATTTTTATATCACTAGTTTTCAATGTGGACTCCTTCCCTCCCACAGCAAATTGGAAAAAAAGAATATTTAAGTTTATGTAATTGACAACCTTGTTACTTACTGCTGCTAGTACAGTGTCAATCATTGTCACACGATCCTCCTGCGACACATTACAACAGAATGGTCTGATCAGTATCTTTAATTTCTGCGTCCTAGGGGTCACAAGAATTGAACAGAGGGATAGAACTTCAAGGACATCTTCAGGAAATGCAGCAAACAAACATGACATACTCCACGTGTACTTGGCTGGTCTACATTTCTCTATCCCATTGGCTCCATGTAATGTCACATGGACAAGAAGAGATGACAGCCACTTTGCAGGGTATAAGGCCTGTGAAATGTTGAAGTAATTGATACTTGACCCCAATGACTTGTAGAGTTCTTCATATGTCTGAACACAGTTGGCGTTGTCATTACAAGCTGTGATCACAGTGCCATTACATGCCTCAACGGTAGTGTCATTACAAGCTGTGATCACAGTGCCATTACATGCCTCAACGGTAGTGTCATTACAAGCTGTGATCACAGTGCCATTACATGCCTCAACGGTAGTGTCATTACAAGCTGTGATCACAGTGCCATTACGTGCTTCAACGGTGTTTTGTGGACAGCTGAACATCATGTTGAGTACAAAAAAAAGGAGATATGTCTTAGGACCAACTGGCAACATCCTGGTTACTGATGTTTACTCGTCAACCCACTACTAGACTGCCAATAAGTTATAAAATGAGAAGATATGCAATAGAATCCACTAAAATGTTCAGTGAACTCGTACCCAGTCGACTCTTACCCGCTTTCCAGTCGATTCGTACACAGGTTCCGCTCGCGGCTGGGTGTTAAAAAAGAATGTGAAAAAATGGCAGAGCGAATACAACCCAGTGTTGATGAAAGGGCGCTTCACAAGTGAAGACTACTATTATCTCGTTGTTTAAACCACAAGGCGAAAAAAGTGCACTGTGAACTTCGTTCTAAGCCATGAAACAGGCGCTGCAAATACAAAATAAATGCTTTAGGTAAAGTTAACGATGAAATGCAATAGAGTTATGAAATATACTCTCTGTTTGTTTGTTAGTTTGTGTGTCTTGTTGACCTAATTAAGTGTATAAAGTAAAACTGAGCACGAGTCGACAGACGCCGAGTACGAATCGACTTGCATTGGTCGCTTTTCCATACTTTTCGGCCTCCACGTTCGATCGTTTGACGAGCGAAAGCGGGAGTTATTTCCGGAATTAATTAGCCCCCAGCGTTATCTCCCGGAAATACGGGCAATCGCAAAGTGTCGAGTCTCGGTACGAATGCAAATGCGTGTCTCTGCCCTGGTCGACTGTGATAAATTCTTCTTCTGCCCAGACTTGGCTCGCCGAGATTGAGATCCACGTCGCCGAGATCGAGATCCACGTCGCTCTTCGGTTTCCCAACAGATTGACGAAATGTCTACAGTCTTCGGGAAGATACCGCGACGATAACTCGGGCGTCAGACTGCCAGGCTTTCAGCGATCAAAGTTAGGGTGAAATACTGAAGGTCAGTGTTTTGTAGTGAGAAACGGAGCCTAAAAGAACAGATTTACGACTTACAGGAGCGATCAGGCGCTTTACTTTATTATGTTTTATTAAGACATTTGTCAGATATATAAAGAACCGAACTCTAGCTACCGCATAGAGTAGGACGACAGTTCCACTCTTCATGATTCGAGCAGTTCGTCATTTTCGCATTTATATGCCGGTGGTATATTTTTCTCCGATCATGCTGTATATGAACTTATCACAAGAAAATTGTTGAACGGGGAAAGTACAATCTTAGGTGATTTTTATCAGCTAATTTTGTATCGGTCAAATTGAAGCTTGAACATCCCCCCCCGGGCATACCTCGGGCATTTGACACCTTTGCCGTCCCGGGGAGGAGGGAATTTGATTATCAGAGTCTTCCATGGGGTGGGGAATTTGATCCCCATGCATTAGGGATGGGGAATTTGAACTGCACCCTCGATTTCAGGTGAAATCTCTGGCGTGGTGAGCTATCATGAGGGACACGGTGTTAGGGAGCATTCATAATTTATCTAGAGGGTGGGCTATGATGATTTCCTTCTTTTTTCCTTTCATTTTTTTGAAGCCCCCCTGATCATCTCAGGGTTTTTTTTCTGACCCCCCTCAAGAGATGTTGATTTATCAAAGGAAAATATCATAGCCCCCCCCCTCCCCCAGCACATATCAAAGTCTTGTGACAGGTATATTGAGCTTTATTAGTAATTAACATAGTAAATCAGTAACAACTTGCACTAATGAAAGGTTGATATTTCAAGATGTCAATTTATGAAAATATAATGCTCAGTACAATTAAATCTCTACGCATTTTAAATTCAAAATAACAAGCAAGTCATCTTTCAACTCTTGGAGAGCATCAAACAATCTTGAGTCTTTTTTATATTTAGAAACTAGCAAATCCATTTTGTCTGTAATATCATCTCCACTCAACTGTGGTGCACCAGTCTGTGCAGGACTGTGCAGGAATGGTTGGCCCCCCCTATGCTCGATGTAATTTTCGTTGGAAATTTTCCACAGCCCCCCCTAAATCAAAGTAGGGAAAAGGAGTGACCCCCCCCCTCAAAATCATCATAGCCCACCCTCTAGTCTAGGTAAATTATGAATGCTCCCTCAAAGGATTTTCGTGGAAAAGATTGTGCCTTTGTGGCCAATTGGTTACGTTTAAACAAGCTTTGGGCCGTATTTGAAGGTATTTAAATTTTAATATTTTTAATATTGGATTCAGGCTTTGAATATATGAATGTATTAAGTTGTGTTGACAATGAAATACAATACCTATTACCGGCGATTCAATTCAACAATAGAAAGCTCAACAGAGGTCAATTACTTTGACCTGCTGCATCTCAGTAGGGGAGATTTTTTTCATAGAACGTTTTGTAGTATATAGTCAGGTCTCTTAGGGTCAGGATCGTTACAGAGTTGACAAAAGCACCAAACTTTGCACAGCGATAGCTTATTGCAGTACCATGAATATTAGAGGGGGTGCCCAATGCAAATATGCCACTGAAGCGTGCTAAACAGGATTTAATTATTGTAAATTTCACCTGCTGGGGTGCCTGTGGTGTTTTGATTGAAAATTGTTATTTAATACCTTAAATCACTCTGAATTCCATTCTCAGGTTGTAAACAACAATTTCACTTGAACATCTGGCATTCCCATCCATTTTTGCTTATTGATTGTGTAATTAAGTTGATTATTACTGTGCCCTTAAAGCAAGTCCACAGTCCGCCCACATTTTCATAAGTAATTTCTAAGATGGCCTCGTCTTTGCTTCATAACTTGCAAGTACTCAGCTTCTGGGGTCTCTTCTTCTTTTTTAATGTATTTCAGTTAGAGGAGGCCTTATTGTGTGGCTTAAGCCTTATTTATCAAGTATTACTTGTCGTTACATGTCACTTTAAGCTGAAGAAAGCAAACAAAATTTCAGAAAAAAGAAATTGTCAAAGAGTCTGTTGTATCACATATTATCAGGGATTTATGACAGCTATTCATGAAGAGCAAATAACGAAATGACAGAACCCAAAATAGTTCTTGCCAAGGGAGGTAATTAATTTTTCAGTTTAACATAGGCCTGGATGCCTTTCAGTCTCTCTTTATCCAGTTATCTGCTGGACGCAAGTGCATGTTTTGACAGAGAAGCAAGCACCGTGGCACAAGTCATATCATTTACAATTTCCGCAGTTTGTCTAAGCTTTACAAAGCAAAAACAAACAAAACAAGAATCTGGTCTCATAAACGAAAAAAAGAAACAAGTTAGCCCAAGCTTCCAAAAACAGCACAGTTTATCATGAAGCCTCTACATTTGGCACTGAAGCACTCATGTCCAAAAATAATAACAGCTTATCAAGTCGTAAAAGTGAGACTCAAGTGGCACAAGATTGACTCAAATGATAAATGGTGAATAGTTTAACTGCTGAAACTGTAGAAAGGGGGCCGGGCTAACTTTTAGGGCCTGCTTACATGAAGGAAGGGGACTCCAGGTAGGAATGGTAACCCACTTAGGTGGGGTAACCCGCCTGTCCATATAATCTCTCATTTTAATTTGATCACGTTTACATGATAGGTGGGGTCACCCTTCAAGGTGGGTATCCCGGTCTGCCACACCAGGTAACCCTCTCAGCTGAGGTCAAATTTTGCCATGTCAACGTTTCAAGGTGAGGAAACCCAGGCTAGTCGGGGTCGGATTCGAGATACATCAAATTCGCGCAAAATTCACTTTGGCGCTGGGTGGCTTCACATAATTATTAAAGGTAACAATAGAAAGCCACAACACTGAAGGTTGCAGCAAGAGCAGCAATTGAGCGTAGACGTGGTTTGCCAGCATTTTTCTTGTTTACATGGTTAGCGACCATTCATATAATCTTGAGAAACTGCACCCCAGGATGGCGGGGTTGTAAGATTGCAAAGCAGGTTACCTCACCTACCTGGGGTCCCCCACCTTTATGTTAACAGGCCCTAAGTCTCAGGAACCGCGAAACTGGTAATAAACGGTATACCTAACCCGGAACTAGCTGTGATACTACCGGCCATCTTCTAGAACGTCAGCATAGCAGCCAAAGAAGCTATATATCGGTGTAAAACGAATATTAGATTGCGGTTGTTTCATGCGTCTTGTTTTGTGACTATTTCTGTGTTCGTTTTTGTCACCATCTCTAAATATCAATCATGTTCAAAACACCCCTACTAACAAAATATTTCGTAAAGCTCTTTAGAATGATATTCAGCAATAAAAACAAGGTGTGACCAGGAGCCGATTTCTGGGCTCCTGGTGTGGCAACATAGGCATAAGTGAATGCAAAGTTTTGCAGTATGTAATCTGTCAAATATCTGTTTGAGTGGTCAAAGTTGGGGCTGATGGGCTTCTTTATCATGACCACTCCATTATTATAAGGGACCAGGCCATAATTATTGTTGACCCTTGCTTTTTTGGTATTTTAGGTAATTTTCCACAGCATTATTTTGTGAAAAGCTGGTAACTGAATTGCTCTTGAGGAATTCATGATCGTAAGATTTCGTAACCACGGGGTATTCGCCTAATTGCATCAAACAAATTACATTCATTTTCATAAATGATGCATCATTTGTTGGCTAAAAGAGGCCTTATTGTTCCTGTAAATTTCAGCTCTTCTGAAGTTAGTTTGTTTGTAAATTGTAACGCACGCGACGACCTTCCTTTTTTTTGAAAGATTGTATAGACGTACCATTAACACTCTAGTCCAAGGGCTCTGAAGTGAATGAGCCGCTTACAGGTGTATAGGCATGCAGGGACCTCATACACTTCTTTTTAAAGGCAATTAGCAAAAAATAAAGAGTGTTAAAAATTCCTGGAGAGGCATGTTTTACAACCTCGTCCCCAGGGCTTAATAAAAAGGTAGAAAAAGGTAAAGCGACCATATTTTACGTCAATAACTCGTGACAGTAATAATAATTGATAAACTTGAGGTCGACGGTGCGCTCCTTTTACCCCCCTTTCTCCATTAATTCTCCGTTTTAAAGGTATTTAAAGCTAGTCAAAGCTATACAGAAAAAAGAGAAGTTGAAATAAGGAGGTGTTGACATCGGGCTCGAACTCGGGACCTCTCGCCCCGAAGGCTGCGCACTAACCAACTGTGCCACCCTTGCTCCTCCTTTTCCCCCTGAGGACGAGGTTGACATGTTTTAATCATTATCTCAAGGACAGGGTTACCAACGAAGCAAATTATAATCTAATCTTAGCTGCACAATTACAAAGTGGGCGCGTTATCAGTTACGGTTCGTGAGGTCGTTCATGTGGCATGTCAAACTTGACGATTCTATCGTTTAGGATGTGATACATTTGAGTTTTATGTTATTGTATGACATCTTTGAAAGCTGGCTTTGTGATCTGTTTAAATTGATATGTAATGATATTATCACTGGCAAGTCTTAGCAGTGACACTGATAGCCGCACAGTCCGCACAATGAACATGACCACACTTACCGTGTGGAGACTGGGCACTAGTCAGTATTATGTACATGTAAAACTATTTTGAATAGTGTAACAACAACTAAACATTACCAAATTAAAAACTTAAAAATTTGCAACAAATGTTTTTTAGCCAAATCAAACAAGAAGAGTACTCACCACAGGACACCCAATATGCTATTACAGGTAAAAGTTAACCCCCCCTTTTATCTGTAATTAGGACCATTTGTAACGGGCACCCCCTCCAGTATTAATCGGTAGGTGCTTAGGAAGCTCTGTGCCAAACTTGACACTTTTGTCACGTCTGTAACGATCCGGCCTATATTTTGCACTAAGAGACCTGACTATATATTGCATGACACACGAAGACAATCTGAGCATTCAGTGACCTGGTAGCAGCGATTTCCGCCGCTTTGCACGAAAAATTGTATTCGTAGTAAATACACTAACAGTGTTTCTCAGTTTTTGTCATATTGAATGCAAATTATTTGCTGTATTTGTAAACATTTTGTTCGACAACTGAAGGCGTTTCTGCCGTCCTTCTGTCATTTATGCACCTGTGAAATGTCCCCAGGGTGGGGGCATTTGATCACCTGAACCGACCCAAGTGTGGGGCATTTGAACGGCATTTTGGCCCGGGTAGGGGGGAATTTGAACAATAATTTTCAAAAAAGTCAAATGCCCCGGGGGTTGCCCGGGGGGATGTTGACGCTTATATTTGACCGATACATTATCTGTATATGGAAGAACAGCGGCATGGCTGAGTAAAATTCACGACGCGAGCGGGTGAGTCTGTAAAATGAAGCGGACGGCGGACGGCGGACGGCGGATGGCGGATGGTGGAAAATAATAAATAAATAAATAAAAATAAATAAATGCCAAGACTAGAAATACGTAAATCGCAGGACCTCGCGAAGGACTTCGGGCGAACAGCAAGTAAAGCCGAGAAGAAAATTTGTAAATCTAAAAATTGTAAACTATATATAGAAACATAACAAAACTGTTATACCTAAAATGAAAACTAAACGAAAAGAAAAAGAAAAAAGAAGAAGAAAAGAAGAGAAAAGGATATGTTTGGAGTCGAATTCGGGACCTGCGATACACCGGGAGAAAGCTTTACTAGGCCACGTGGAACACACAGGTAGTTTGGCTGAAATTTTATTATTAAAACCTTCGGCCTTATTAAACGTGAATTCAAAGATATTTTTCAGAAGAATATGACTGCAGTTTCGACAGTGAAAACCCAACGTAGATGCATTTACGGTATAAATTCGTCTGCGAGCAAAACGTGTTTTGTTACCGCGATGTTCGCTCTTATGTTAAGGGTAATTATCCATAATCACTTCCATTTGCTCTTAAAGTACTTTAGCATTCGAAATTCATTGAGTAATCTTCCCTCTGCTCCGCTGTTAGCTGATGCCGTCTCCATCTTTGTTGCTTCAATGCGCCGTTGAATTTCAAGTCGGCGTTCTCGCTCCAGAGGATTTTTCGGTGTCAAATCTTCCCTTGCGAGGATTGACAATTCGGCGTTCTTGTGTTTGCTGTTCTGTTTGCATGAAAAATGGCTTGAGATTCACCGATAGTAAACATTGTTGTGCAGACTATGAAGAGACAGCTTTTCATGAATACTTTGGTCATTGATGGGAATTCGAAATCGCTTTCAGTCGAATACTGAATAAAGGATTAAATGAACTGCAAAAACCGTGGACGAAGATCCTGCTAGTTGTATACGTTGGATCTCTAGGAAAGATCTCCCGTTTCTGTTATTTAATTTTGCGAAATTCATTTGCTATATTAAATTTCTGTGCTGCTGGCGATATCGAAGAGAATGGTCAAGGGAAGCCACGCTAATGTATTATTTAGCCGAGAGAAGAGTTAATTTGTGCAGTATCTTTATTTTTTAATACATTGCTTTTTGCCACAGCCCACTGCTTTAGATCTCTTCCGGGTCAACTGACTCCGATTACGAACAAAAATTTAAAAGGTGGAATAGCGGGCTCGGCCTCTCGCTTAGATTCAAGCCTTTTTGAAGAGGGGTGAGAGGAGAGAGATTTTTAAAAAAAAAAACGCCCGGAGGGTAATAGGTATGTGCGGCTCCAAAGGGTATGGTTTTTGCGCCGTTTTGGTCTGAAAACTGGTATAGACTTTGGTCTGGAATCGGGTATGGTTTTCGCGGAAACTAATTCCAAACGAATAAGAAAGAAAGAGAAGTACGCGAATTCGAAATGGATTTTAAGAAATCTTTTTTGTTGGCGTTCCAATCCAAGTAATGGTGGCATAATTTATAAGAGACCAGGTCTGAAAACGGGAGTGAAAAATATAACATTTTTTGGCCTGAAATAGGGTCAGGATTTAAAGAACCCGGCGGTACACCCCCACCAAGAATTCCAAGGAGTACCCCCGGGAAAAAAGGACAAAATATCGATAGTTAGCTTAACTTTAAGGGATTGTTCAAGTCTCAGCTTTCAAGGGATGTACATTTATTTAGTTCCTTGTTTTCTTCATTTTTATTTAATTTCAAAGACCCAAGAGCTACTTGGATCAAGCCTCGATGCGAGCGAAAGAGTTCTCTGCGCCTCTCGCGACTGCTCGTGTGCATTACGCTTCGAGTTTGTTTCTTCAAACTAACTAGTCAGTCTGCGGGACTAATACATCACGCACAACATGTACAGTTATAGAATTATAGAATGATTTACTTCAATAATTTACATGATTAACTCTAGCTGTGAAAAAAACCCGGTCTCTTATGGCCATCCTGCTGAACACCTTGTGCGGGCCTTCAAGTTGTTACTCATCTTTCTCCTCACCGCTGAAAATTAACGGGAAAGAGTGTTAAAGACCGATACCTTTTTCCGTACAAATATGGAAATATTCGAATGTTTTTTACATTTCCTTTTTAACTCTTAACCAAAAAAAAGAAAAACCGGTTCGTGGTCTTGTTCAGTCGGAGTAGCAAACGTACGTGCCATCACTGATCAAATTTTCTCAGGATTGGAATAGATGCTTAGGATTCCTCTTAGTTTTAGAGAGCACGTGCGGTATGTTGCATGCGTGCGCGTAAGGAAGCTCAGGCTCGACAGTGAGAAATTGTTTGGAAATAAAAAGAAAAAATACGTCTTCATTTTTGTCTTTTGAAAAACTTCGAAACAAAAATGACTAACCTTGTGTCTGATTTGTTTATTTTACTCTCTGTTCATCCAATGTGGGGAAAGGATGTGGTAGGGTAGGACTCCCATACCAATATGAAGGGGATGCTCGTCGGAAAATTAGAATTAAACCCTGTTAAGGAGAAAAACCTTGACATAGCTCAGGCCATGGTCACTGAATAAATCCTGAGCCTGCAGGCTCAGGATTTATTCACGTTTTTTTTCACACAACCCTAAGCGATACCTTTGTAGGTAAGAATAATTGGCTTTCCGTCCTGAACACCCTAAACATGGGCAGATTTAGGAGTTGGCCGAGTGCAACGTAGCCACCCCTTGAGAGCTGAAACCTAAACAATCCCTTAAAGTTAGGCTCACTATGCTTACTTTGTCTTTTTTCAAGTCTCTCCTCTCACCACTCTTCAAAAAGACTTGCAGGATCTAGATGAGAGGGCGAGCCCGCTTTTCCACCTTTTAAAGTTAGTTTTGTTTGATGTGTGTTTGTTATTGGAGTCAGTTGACCCGGAAGATATCTAAAGCAGTGGAGATAGCAGCAAACATAAAAAAATTAACTTACCTCACGGCCAGATAGTATATCAGCGTAACATCTCTAGTGTCTGTTCTCTTCGACATGGGCAAATTGAAGCGACAGACTACAGTCTTTTCTTCCCAACCAAAAGTTGGAAGTGACATTCGAGCGAACCACATAACTGCCCACTCCAGAGATGTCACAACTGACATGTATGTTTTTAATATTTTAATTTCTTATTTTTTTCATTTATTTGTCTTGTTTTTATCTATCTTATACATTTATCTTATACATGTATTTATTTTTATTTTTTTAATTATTTTCCCCCATCCGCCGTCCGCCGTCCGCATCCGCCGTCCGCTTCCTCATCTTACAGACTCCCCGCGAGCGGGTACTGAAGATCAAGAATAAGGCCTGTTTCAAACGTCGTGCTACTGCCGTGCTAGGCTGGCTCGACTGTAGCTCCACTATAGCACGACACTAGCACGACTTGGTTTCAGACGTCGAATTTAATTCAGTCGTAAAGAACGGGTGTTACCAAAAACAAAACACAAAAATAAAGAGACGGTTTAGAGAACTTTTAAATGTATTGTAATGTATTTATAATTTATGAATTGAGTTCGGCACGACAGTACCACAGTAGCGCGACGTTTGAAACCAAGTCGAGCTACTGCCGTGTAGCACGGCAAAGCTTGCCGTGCTACACGGCAGTTAGCCAGCGATCATGCCCTCTCCCTTTATCTCTGTAATCTGTTTTCGGGACATGCAAAAAAGGTAGAATCTGGACTTTTTTCTGATTGGATAAAAAACAATTCGGATGATTTGCGCTGTTCCAATAGGCCAAAACGCCGCCATCCGTTGTTGTTGATTTCAGTCTGCATTTTTGCTTGCGTAATAAGCAGTGAATACACACGCGAGTTCGTTATGAAATTTCTGCCGGCTCAGTTTTCTTGAATTTGAAGAACGTCCAAATAGAAATTTCATCCATTGAAATATTTTCCATTTCATCGTATACTAAACATTGCAGTCAAAAATTCACTGATCATTTGAATGCAGTTTGATACCGGCTACAAGTTGCAGAAGCGACAAATGGGTTCACTATTCAAATAATCAATTCATGAATGGAATCTTGACCTGGTTTGACTGTAATTCCTCTTTCAGAAACCTGAGAATTATTTTGAGCGATCTTCGCTTTCACAACACTTTTCAGTTCGTGAAATATGGTGCTTCAGCCTATTTTTTTTTCACTGCTTTCGGCACAGGACAAAGTCAACGAGCTTTTACCCTTTTACCAGTAAATTCTTTATTATTTGTAGCTGTTAAATAAAGGTACGTCAGCTCCAGCTAGCAGTATTTCATCACAAAAAAAAAAACATTTAAACTTATTTTTTAGGAAGCGTTATCTGAACGTACTTAAAAATTTTCTCTTCCCTAAAATTGATTTCGAAAGAGACATTATCCCCGCCAAAATTTGATTCCCGTGTGGTAAACGCTCATTGGCTAATAACATGACAGGTCAAGCAGACATTAGATTATGTAAATTAGGGGGCGGTTGGTGGGTTGTTAAATGAATGTATCAGGCGTTATTTTTTTCCCTCCCGAGCCAAAGAAACAAAGAAGCAAAAAAAAAAACCAAAAAACAAAAAACGCCTGATCTCAGGTTACACGGCAGTAGCACGACGTTTAAAACGGGCCTAACCGATTCCTGTTTTCTGATTGGCTACCCAAGGGGGCAAGACGGGACTTTCTCTTCCAGCCCCGGTCTCTGCTTGCCCATGGGTCACCCATACTGTGATACAGTAATCCTGGGCTGCCAAAGGCGGGCTCAGTTTATACTAGAAACACGTTTATTGCAACACCTCGCGTAACTGTTATGAGGGGATGCATGCAATATGAATAAATTAGAACCAGCCAATTGGTAAAATATGGTTAAAAAAAAAAACAACAACAAAAAACAACATAAAACAAAACAGAGAAAACAAAAAGAAAACGACCAAACAGAAAAGAAAAAGAATTTCCTCCTGCGGAAGTCGAACCCAGGAGCATTGGCGCGTAAGGCTATCGCTACTGCGCCACGACACCAAATGTTAAACTAATTAAATAAATTAAATATGTTTAACGTTTTTGCCCATGAAATTCTTCCGGTAGACGCTGTTGGTAGCTGGTAGGGCAAGAACTTAAAGATATATTCGATGAAATTAAATGACCAGGATTTTGACGGTAAAAGCCGTACTTTAAGTCATTTAGTCGCAATTGAAGAGCAGAAGGCCAAGAAAGCGATATTAATTGTCTCGCAAAACCGTTGCGAAGTCACTCTTGCTGACAGCGTTGTACAGCTTGCAATTCTCTGCATTTACATGAGGAGAATGGGTTACGATTCAGCAACAGTAAACATTCAGTTTTCTTCCCAGATTGGGAGAGTTGTGACACAATACAAGCGATATTTATAGGCTCACATCGAAATATTAAATCCAGCTTTGAGCTAATCAAAGCTCGCCAGGGAGCTTGCTCTCAGGCTATAGAGCGTTTTCACTCACGTGGCCAGCATCTATGCAAACGTATGGGAACAAAGGAATTTTTTTACATGAGGAAAGAGTCCAACTCCCTCAGAATATGTTTGGAACACCAATATGGCCACCGTTTCATTGTTTTGGAACACCAACATGGCCGCCGTGACGTCATGTGAAAACGCTCTATCGATAGCGAAAATGAAATGACTTAGATCCCGGTGGGGCTGCTCCAATATATGGGCTAGATAGGTATGTTCCGCCCGATAGGGTATGGTTTTTGAGGGTCTCAATCCCTAATCTAGTGTATCATTTTTACCCCAGCTTGTTGGTATTATGTTCCCAGTTTGATCCTTAGTAACGTTATCTAAATCGTTTCAGCTAAAATCCAAGTGCGTGCATTCCCAGATAGGTGGGAAATAGTATTAGTTCACGCCATAAGTTTTAGTCTTTTTATAGGACCCTGGGTGGCACAGACCTTTCGAGAATTCTAGGGATTACTCATACCCTGAGCTTAGAATATATGAAATAAATCGTAAATAATTTGAAGGTCTTTGAACTTTTTATGAAGTGATGAAAGTGAATATGCAGTTAAATGAACATCTCTATTTTCTCTGATTCGTTGTGATATTAGGAGTAAAAAAGAAATATCGTACCTGTTAATAAATATGTCTGGGGAATATCTGCCAACATTCGATGAAGTACAAGAGAGGGTCTTTGGCCAGAGACCTAAAGACACTACAGAAGAAAGGACAAGGCTAGCTGTGTGCAAAATATTACGTGGCCAGGACAAAAGGAATGTTGGGTGTGGAGTCTTGGTTTGTGACCCAGGAATCAATGATCATATTAGCAAGTACTGTATCATCACAAGCAAGGAAGTAATTAAAATAGAGAATTTTTGTGATGGTTCAATTAACCAAGTAAAGTTCAGTAAAGAAACCAAAGAAATTTGTTTTGATCTGAAAGGTCTCTCGAAATCTGTGCAAGCTGTTCCTTCTGCTGGGCTCATTTTGATTTTTATTGACGCCAATCACCGGGATTTTAAACAGAGATGCTTGCCCATGACAAACTTTGATCAAGGTCAGCAACCTTTTTGTTACCTTGCAAACCAATGCTATAACATTGTAAAATCAAGTGGTGAGAATGGAGAGTATGTTTTGGAAGCTGCTAGCATCAAGTCAGTTACTTCAGTAAAATCTACCATCGCACCAGACGAAATACCAAATGGCACAGTCATATTACAAGGTGCTAATAAGGATGTAAGAGCAGTGGGAGTTTTCAACGTGGTGGACAGGAATAATTTGGTAGTTTCTCCTATCTGGTTGAAATCAAGTATAAGTGGCATTTCAGGTGAGCTTTATTGAAAATACCTTTATTTAGCATACTTAGTCGCTGTCTATACGTCGCGCAATCGTCGAATTTAATTCGGACGAATTCAATTCAAAGCCTCCCATGCAATAAAATTCGACGATTCTGCGACGTATAAAATAAATTAACTTCGTTTGAGGAATTAAATTCGTCTAAGACGGATAAAATGTCTGTAGAGCATATTATTTCAGACGTCGCGCTAACGACGCAGTGAACTGAATACATACATTATGTTAAGGTCAAATAAATTATTATAACGTACAAAATTGGAGCCGGCAGCCATTCGTGGCGCCGGTTTCCAGTTCAATCCGAGTGAGAACAAGTTCGCGCCATTTTTGTTCTTTTCCCGTGTCTAGTGGAATAAAATGGCTCTCTCAGTCTGGAGGAAAACTATGTCTTCCTGCTGCATAATGTTTAAAAGACAAACAAAATATGTGTGTATAAGCTCTGGAGAGAGTGTATGTGACCGATTCGGGTGCTCGGTTGCTACGGCTTTCCACAAGTTGCTCGGCAACTTTTTGGCAACTTCTCGTATAGATAGATAGATAGATAGATAACTTTATTTAAACACGGTTAAAATTCCTTCAGCATGTACAAAAAATCTAAGATCTATAATACCTAACTAAACTAACTCTGATTAAAAATATATTCATAAAATTTTAACTACCTAGCTATTTACAAATAAAAGCTGCTTTTCAAGGATGCCGTGTAAAAACTGTATTAATGTATGATCTCTTTCAAAACTGTTGCGACACAGTTTGCGTTTAAAATCATGTAAAGAATCTGCAGATCTTAAATCATGGGATAGGCTGTTCCACAGCTTAGCTCCGCTATAGGAGAAACTTTTCTTTAAATAATTGGTACGGGGCAGTGGAAGGACTAACTTATTTTCAGTATTCCTCAATCGATAAGAAGTTATTTCGTCACGAGATACAAATGTAGATGTAAGATAGTCGGGAGTCATCCCATGTACGGTTTTATACATCATAATAGCCGTCGATACTTGTCTTTGGTGTTTAAGCTTACGGCAACCCAGTGCCAGGAACAAATCGTCCACATTACAATCAGAATTAGCGGACATTAGAATACGGGCTGCACGATTTTGGAGCCTCTGCAGCTTATCGGAAAGACCAATGCCGCAGTTGCTCCATACGACATTACAGTAATCAAAATGCGGTTGAATTAAACTGTCGTAAACATTAATTAATACATTAAAAGGAATAAGATGTCGTATTCTTTTAATTGCACCCAAAGCAGAAGCAATCTTTTTACAAATACTCTGTATGTGGCATTCCCAGCTTAAGTTTTGGTCAATATGTATTTTGAGCAACCTTTTATGTTTCGAGCAACTTTTAGCATTCTGAGCAATTTCTCTAGTTATCTTCTAATTCTGGGATATGGGAGCAGCTTTGAGAGCGTAAATTGGCCTTTCTTCCCTATTTCACATTGTTTTACAATTAGTAGACATTTGATGAATTTCTTGTAAAAAAGGAGCAAAATCCTCCCCCCTGGGGCAGATCATGGGCGCCTGATAAAAGTAGCCGGGCTGTAGGTCGGCAGTTTTTAGAAAAAATTCGAAATGGTGGACGAAGAGTCACACTCGACTGACTTGAGTGTCTCGAATGAAGACGGTCATTCAACAGTTGTATTGGCTCATTACACTTTTTGGTTTTAATTGAGGACAAAGTTATTTAGCAACGATGGTTACGCTGCAAAATTACACAAAAATGCTTAGAAATCTTACTTTTATTGTACAATTTGCATATTTTAGAAAGGCTAAAAACTTTGTAAAACAAGCTAATCATAATCATAAAGGAAACCAAGCAATTGTTCCCTTATTTTTCTAATCCCACGACAACATTATTGCAAATGACCAACTTCAACTTCAACTTCCTTCCTGAAGGCGGCAACAATGAGCAGAAGCTGCAAAATTAAATGTTGGCGAGAGCGTACCGATTCTTTTTCAGACTCTTTCACCAACCCATATCTGTGTTTCTTCTAGATTTGAAAGTTCTAGAGGAAAAATTTCACCTTGAGAATCTAAACTTGCCATGTTTCATCAGTAGGATTAGGTAAAAAACATATTAAAAAGAGTTTAACGTCAAACGCTTACATCACACAACAGAACACAAAAAAACCGAATCGAAATCCACCAATCACAAATCACAAACCATGACCTTTAATTTTGAACTCGTTGAAGTTAAATTCTGTTTCCTAAGAGGATTGACAGCAGCGAAAATGTAATCATGAAGGCGCAAAAAGCGCTGAGCCTTCAGATTTTGATTGACGTATCAGAAAAAGCCAATTTTGACATCGCAATACACCAGGGACGATCATGCAGACACTTTCTATTTCCAGCGTTAAGGTGGATTTCCAGTGTCCCATACACACGTAAAGTTTATGCGCGTAAATGATGTAGAGGCAATGTATGGAAGGTCGCACGTAAACTTAAAAGTTGAACCTCGCTCAACTTTTACGTAACACGCCTCTATTTTATTTATGCACGTAAAAGTTACGCGACAGTGGAAATCCTCCATTACGGTTCACTGAGCAATTTAACCCGATTTAAACTCATCGCTAATAATGACCTTGGGAGCAGATGCCTTAAAGGTTAGTGGGGGGCCAAATACAATAAGCAGAGAGGAGGTATTCATGGCAACCCTGGAAGCGGGAACCACCCCAAGAGTGCCCACTAACCGACACTATCACAGTGAATGAAATTCAGTGGAGATACTTACCAAAGAGAATACTTACGAACGGGGGAGGAGAGGGAGTAAGAATCCGCAATGATTCGCCAGAAGGCAAGAAATTGATCCGCTACGATCAGCAAGCAAAGCTACAGTGCAACGCAACACTAGCAAAAGAGCTCACAAGCAGCCCTGCAATTTGCCAAGGGCCGCCCCGTAGGTCACCTACTGGGGTGGGAGAAGACCGCCGGCCAACTCGCTCGAGTTTAACTTTGCCTAAATGATATTTAGCCACATTTTTTACATACAACGCAACATGCACTAGCAGGATCATTATCCCAATGTTGCCGCGTACCTATGATGCCTCTCACTCCAACAAAACGCCTGGAACAGGCTAGTGTCCGTCCGAGGTACTCCAATATGAAACAGTGGTTTCTTTCTTTTAGAACAGAATCACTTCCTTATCAGGTCGCAAAGCAAGGATTGTTTGGATAGCAAAAACCCAAAACATACCATATTTCTATGTCACATTTAGCCTCCCACGCAGACGTTCTTTTGGCTCGTCGCGCAAGGAAGGAACGCCATGGTGACTAAGCCGTAGGAGGCTGTCACGTGTCGCAAAAGCTCTGAAGTTCTTGCTCTATGATTACAAAAACAACATGAAAATTTGTCATAAGATAAGGAAAAAAGGCCCCGCTCGCAAGTGAGTTGAAGCGATGATCGTTTTTGCTTTGTTTTGTTTTTAACGAAAAGAAGAAGAAGAAGAAGGAGAAGAAAGCCAAAGAATGATCTTATTAAGTTTTTTTCTTCTCGTGATTTTAGCATTTCATTCTTAGAAGCTTGAGTCATTTTGAAGCTGCCCCTTATATTTGAAACTGTTTCGTACGAGTTTTAAAAGCGCTACCGTGTACGACTGGTTGGTGAATCTAACGGACCAAATAAACCCTTTCATGGTTTTTTTCAAGTTTTGATTGGAACCATAAGATGAAAATTCGTCGACACCCTTGAAAAAGAGCGCCTTAACTTAAGTACACATTAATTTTCAAGGAGTTATAATAACTCCTCTAGTGAGGTTAATTTAACTCCTTACTGTGGAGTTATTTTTTGGAGGAGTTAATTTAACTCCAAAAAGGAGTTAAAGAACTCTTTTTCAGGAGAAAAAAATCACCACAGATATTGAGGAGTTAATAAAAATAGCCCCCCCTAAAAGGGGTTATCCTGTACCTACTCCAATTTTTGGAATAATAACACTCGAAAAACTGCTGTGTAAACTTGCCAAGTTTGAAGTGATACGTCCTGAAATTGAGCGATGAGGTAGCTCCCCAAATTCGCAAAATTTTACAGACGTTTTTATGGTGGAGGCAAGTAGATGCCTCCCATCATATAAACTTTTGAAACATTTTGCGAGTTTGCAGAGCTATACCTTCTTTTTTTTTCAAAATAATGCGCCACGGACTTTAGGCTCGCTTTTCACTATCTGGTACGTGCATGTCAAAAGTTGCAAAAACCGTGAAAAGGTGCATAAAGCTTCATTTACACGAGCGATTTTCTTTGACCAGGAAGACTCACTCCCACTCCATAAATGGGAAACATTGACAAGTGTGCGTCATCGCTAAGAATATTTCGCGATTATTCTGCTTTTAGCAAGTGAAGGCATTGAAGAACTTTGCGGAGAAACAGTTTACAAATAAGATAAAGAAGAAAAGAAGAAGCAGAGACCAAAAGTAGCCTTTGTGACTTGGAATATGCCTAAACTGGCACAATTCTTTGAACAGTCAAGCGGTGCGAAGCAAGTTAATACTTTGTGGAATTTTCTTCTCTGTTCATTGTATAAAACGAATAGATTCCTTGTTGCACTGGGTCTGTTTTAGTAATTGATAACAGAAGACGTCAAAGTGTGGTAAAACATCAGTGACAAACCCCGCCTTTGGCCCGTGTGCCACTTTTTTTTTATCAAACTTTGACGTCATCTCTGATCTATTTCTGAACAGAAGCACGGCAACATGTAATCTGTTTGTTAACTCTAATAGATCGTAGGTAACGACCAATCACAGCGTGCGTAACGTTCACCACATTGTATAAAATAGTCCGAAAAAGAAAAACTCTCTAAAGTAAAAATATTTTGCTTCTCTTCACCAGACTTCAAACCGTGTTTAGAAAAATTCAAGGGCGCAGCAGACAAAGGGTTTGAAGAGTTACGACAGATCTGCGACTCCATTCAGCTTTCTTCTTTGAAACTTGATGAAGAAGTAGATTATTGCGGGAGTGAATTCCAGTTTGATGCGATCTCTGAGGGACTTCTTCCAGCAGACACCAAGGAAACAGGATATTGTGCCCTCAAAACCATAGCTGATGGAAATTGCTTGTTCCGGTCCGCTTCAATATTTGCCTTCGGGAATCAACACCGACACGAAGAAATGCGAGTAAGGACAGTGCTTGAGCTTGCTCTCAATAGCGAGTTCTACCAGAAAGGCAACGACGTTGACAAAATTTCGTTGGCTCAAATGAGAGAAATTTATCCAAAGGGTGGCGAAGGGCCCTCGAAACTGAGTGATGAAGATGTGAGAAGGGAATTTGAAAGTGAAGTGCGAAATAGTACTGCATGTAACTCATGGTGTGGTTATTGGCATCTTCAGGCTCTAGGAACCGTCCTTGGTCGTCAAATACGAAGTGTGTATCCAGATAGTGGTTCAAATGAAATAAAAAAGTATTTTAATGCAATTATTTGTCCTCGCCGGTATGATCCTTCAAAGAAACCTCTTACTTTCATGTGGACACACACAACTGGAGGTGATGCATCAAAGTTTCGACCAAATCACTTTGTTCCACTTATTAAGGATTCCAAGAAACTGGCAGGTACGTCGTTTATCCAGGCTACCCTCTCGTGTCAGGTGGAATAGAAGACTGACGAATTTGTATTATACTTTCGGACAATAGGGTGTTTGTCTGCTTTTTGTACCACCTGGAATTTCGAATGTCCGCCGAATGGCGCGAATGACTCTGAAGTTTAGTGATTAGGGCTAGAAAACTGAGCGAATCAAGTTCCAATTAGGGACATCATAATTGATTCACTCAGTTCCCTAAAGCTAATCACTGAAACTTCACCCCTGCCAATTTTTAGTACTTCATGTATTCCCCCATTAAATATCCTGAGCACCTGGTTACCTGTTTTCTCCCGTAGCCGTAGTAGATGGCTGTGGTAGCCGTAGTAGTAGCTGTAGTAGCAGTATGTTGTAGCTTAGTTGCTTGCCTAGGTATTCAGGACATTTCATGGGACATACATGAAGCCTTGACCATATTTCTCCAGTGATTGCAAACTATCATTATGTAAGTTATATTTAAATTTTGTGCACTAGCTCATATGATTGTTATGTTTCTCAAGCCCCGTGCAAACGGGGCAACACGCAACAACATGCAACAGGGTGTGCAAACGGACATCCCACAATGTTGGGAGGTTAGCCAACAATGTTGTGTTTGTTTGCGCGCGGCTTTATATGTCTTACTGTATCCGTCATTATCCTCAATGATGTGTTAAATTCATTGTGACTAATCTATTGTCGTCTCTTTCTATCTTTTAATGTGGTCCTCTAGCTTCAAGGGAAAATCAGAAGGACGTGCCGAAGGATGAAAAAGATAATACGAACCCAGGTGCTGAAAAGCTTTTTGTTGTGTTCCTCCTTGACTTTATGGTCTTTCAATATAATTTTCAGAATAGTATGGACCAACTTAAAGTATGGTATGTTCTGCATCTACTTAAAAAGCCATTTTTTCTGCAAATTAAAAAAGTTGTATACTATTTTAAAATTGATTTAAAAATTCCGGTTTTCAAGGTTATGGTCTTATGAAAACTGTATGGAACCAGGACACGTGCCAAAAAAGAAAAGAAAAGAAAAACATTTTTTCAGACTTTTTAGTCAAGCATCAGTGTTTAAATCGTTTCGTTAGAACTTAAGTCCTTACTTTGATTCAGGCCCCAGTTGTTCAAAAGGTGGATGATTCACTATCCACTGGATAGCGCCTTGGTTTTCCTAATGTTTATCCACTGCATTTACAATTATTCCTCGAGCCCGAATGGGCTTTGAGTCAATAGCCCAGGAGGTCGAAGGCCGAATGGGCTATTGGCTCAGAGGCCATGAGGGCGAGAGGAATAATTGTTTTAGTAAAATCCAACTAACTGGTCAAAAATATCGAGACAAAACAACTTTAGCTAGGAAAACGCGATTCAGCCGTTATTGTTTTGGTTTTCTGAAAGCCGGCGCTTTTCGCTACTAGTGGGCTATAACATATAGCCTAGTAGTAGTTCAACCAATCACAACGCAGCATTGATAATAGACCACTAGTTGGATTTTACTAAAGTGATTTATCGGGTGGATAGCTATCCATCTTTTGAACAACCGGGACCTGAACTATAAATATGTTCTCGAGTCAAAGCAAGGTGTCTTTTGTTCTAATTGCTCGCTTGCGTGGGATAGTTGCTTGGAAAATATACACCACGCACGATCATGCAGAGACTTTTTCTATTTCCACTGTTAAGGTGGATTTCCGCTGTCGCATACGCGCGTGAATTTTACGCGCGTAAATGAAATAGAGGTAAAATATGGAAGGTCGCGCGTAAACGGCGTAAAAGTTGAGTAACACGCCTCTATTAATAGTTACACGACAGTGGAAATCCACCATTACGGTTCACTGAGCAATCTAATCCGATTTTTTTGCATACAACGCAACATGCACTAGCAGGATAATTATCCTAATGTTGCCACGTACCAGTGACGCCTGTCCAACAACCCCTGAAACAGGCTAGTGTCCGTCGACCGAGGTACTCCAATATGGAACAGTGGTTTCTTTCTTTTAGAACTTAGTCACTTCCCTATCAGGTCGCGAAGGAAGATTGTTTGAATAGCAAAAACCCAAAACATTACGAGGTAGCTTTCCGAATGACCTTTTTTCTATGTCACGTGTAGCCTCCCCTGCAGACTTTTTTTTTTTTTGCTCGTCACGCAAGGAAGGAACGCCACGGTACATGGTGACGAAGCCCTAAGAACGTCTGCGTAGGAGGCTGTCACGTGAAGCAAAAGCTCTCAAGTTCAATTCTGCTCTATAATTACAAAAGCAACATGAACAATTGTCAAAAGATAATATAAAAAAGCTACTTAAAACGCAGAAGGATTCATAATTTTTATTTTTGTAAGTTGTTGACTTCATGATGCAAACAGGCAATCCATTTAAACAAGAGAATTCCTTGTTTTAACAGCCACAAAACTTCTGGTTGGCACAAAAATATTGACAACAATATCAATTGGTAGTTGAAATCAGCGACTCGAATATCTTCGCTATAGATATTCCGATCCTCAAAGCAAAGCGTGACAAATGTTTTGAGATACTGGTACTGTTGATCTAATGCACCCTGCTAGCAGAGCCTTTCCCTTTCACTTCACTTGTTCGATTTGGGCGTGGAAACAAAAAAAGGCTCTGCTCGCAAGTGTGTTGAAGCGATGATCGTTTTTGTTTTGTTGTTAACAAAAAAAGAAGAAGAAAAAGAAGCAAGCCAAAGAATGTTTTTTCTTCTTGTGATCTTAACATTTTTAGAAAATGAGTCATTTTGAAGTTCTCCCTAATTTGAAACTGTTTCGTACGTGTTTTAAGAGCGCTACCGTGTATCACTGGTTGGTGAATACAACAGACCAAATAGACCCTTCCACGTGTTTTTTCAAGTTTTGATGAGGACGATTTGGTGAAAATGACCCCTGAAAAGAGCGAAAGAACTTAAGTGAACTTAATTGCCAATTTCAAAGTGATACGTCTAAATTGAGCGATGAGGCTGCTCCCTCCCCCAAATTCGCGAAAATTTTACAGATGTTTTTATGGTGGAGGCAAGTCGGTCGGTCTGATTTTTAAACGTTTCTTTCAGAACACCACAGAGTCCTTACTTTAAGTGATTGAAAACTTTTTACATAACTGTAAGAGGGATACATTTAGTTGCTTTTGGAAGATCTTACATACATCAGCCGCCTTTTCTATTTCCAATGTTTCTCGCTTCACTGAGTAATCTAATAAGATTTTTAACGTACAAGGCAACATGCACAAGCAGGATCATTGTCATAATTCTTCATAAGATACTCAGCCTCATTCATTAATTGTCAAATAATCTGTTAGTTTTAAATCATTGCTAATCTATCGCCGTGTCTCTCTAACTTTTTATACCAAAGTGAACGGTGAAGGTTCTCAAGCTACAAGGAAAAATGATCAGGAAACCAAGGCTTTGCAGGAGGATAAAATCGATGATACCAATCCAGGTGCTGACAAGCTTTTTGTTTAAGTATGATTCTCCTCCATTTTATGGAAATAAAATCGAAGTAAAGGCCATTCTTCTTCTTCTTCTTCTTCTTCTTCTTCTTCTTCTTCTTCTTCCTCCTCCTCCTCCTCCTCCTCCTCCTCCTCCTCTTCTTCTTCTTCTTCTTCTTCTTCTCTCCTCCTCCTCCTCCTCCTCCTCCTCCTTCTTCTTCTTCTTCTTCTTCTTCTTCTTCTTCTTCTTCTTCTTCTTCTTCTTCTTCTTCTTCTTCTTCTTCTTCTTCTTCTTCTTCTTCTTCTTCATCATCATCATCATCATCATCATCATCATCATTATTATTATTATTATTATAACATTCCTCGCACATATGAGGGGATGACAAAGTATACAGTGAATTTTGACACAGATCACAAGATTATAATCTAGTTTGACGAGATAGATAAGAAGACGTGTTAAAACGCCTTAATTAAGAGAGCTGCAGATTATTTTTGCTTTCAAAGAAGTTCTGAAAGGACATATGTCCGGTTAAGTCACCATTGTTTTCGTACGAAACAAAAATGTCCAATGAATTTACAGCTCTGCTAAACCGTGGAGCCTAATCCGTGCGGAGTAATTGAGTAGGAAAAATTAATGTTCGAATACGACCAGGCTGGTCTCAAGTTAGCAGGCAACACAGTGCGAAACAACACTGAACAAGACAAGAACCATTTCTTGTCACCTCCAGTTAGCCTTTCAAAATGACGAAGAATTAAACATACTGCTTCCCGGTGTCTCTTTTGCTTTGCGGCGAGATGTAACTGTAATACTGAATTACAATTTCTTGGCCCGCACTGAAGTCAAGACTTGATGGCATCATTTGACTTCAACTACCAGAGTCCTTCAAAATGCCTCCTATAAACAGCATTTACTCCAACATTGTAGGCAGGTTTTTTTCGAAAGGTTGGTTTAAGCTCTACTGGCCTTGTTTTTGTATTATATTAGTTTTGTATTATTTCGTAGTTTGTTCCTGTTGATGACAGGGACAAGAAGGCGTAATAAGCATGACGGCAAAAGAATAATAAATTGCAGTGTCGTCATGAAATCAAGATCCTTAACTTATCTCTTGAATAACTGTTAACTAAAGTCAAGCATGTACTGTTTTTATTTCTATTCCAATTTTGCAGTCAAGGAACACGTAGTGAAAGTTTTAGTTGCTACAGATGCCGAGGGATGGGACACGATGGTAAATCATCAGTTGGTAGCCGAACTGGCCAAAAACCCAAGAGTGGTTTTGTATTGTTATGTGCCTGACATGACCCAGAAACAGAGAGATCAGGCCGAGTCAAATATTAAACTGGTTACTGCCCCGAAGGGGATGGTTGGTTTTACGAAAAAGCAGCTTATTCAATGGCCTCCTGACAGTCTTGTTTTTGATGTCTTCATCATCCACTCTTATGGGCGTGACCTTGGGATACAAGCCCAAGTTGTAAAGAAAAACAAGAATTGCAAGTGGGTTCATGTTGTTCATACCATCAGCGAAGAACTTGAGAAGTACATGAAGGTAGTATCCAGCACAGACACAGCTGATCCGGATTGGTTGCCCGAGCATGAATTACAGGTAGCTCTATGTGAAAAGGCTGACCTTGTCATTGCCATTGGCCCTAAAGTAACTGATGCTTACAAACGTGCTCTTTGTCACTGTGGAAAGCATGAAGATGTGATTACTATGACACCTGGAATCATCCATGACCTAGTTGGCGTCCGGACAATGCGTTATGATGGAAAAAGGTTTTGTGTCCTGATCGGTGCAACTTATCCTTCAAAGTATTTCAAAGTTAAAGGATGCGATATTGCAGCGAAAGCAATCACATTATTGCAGGAGAAGTCATACCATCTCTTTTTCGCTGTCCGGTCAAATGACAGTGCTGAAAACCTCAAACATCAACTTAAGGGGTTAATCAGCTTAAGTCAGTTCACTATCAAAAGAGTCTCCAAGAGTATTGAAGATTGGAAAAAGCTGCTTTGCCAAGTCGATCTCACCATCATGCCTTCTGCAGAGGGTTTTGGAATAACTGGTGTCCGCGCCATTTCGGCAGATGTTCCTGTCCTCAGCAGTGGAAACAATGGATTTGGTATGGCACTAAAGAAGTTGCGTTCAGGAAAAATGCATGTATTGGATTCAGAAAACCCACAGGACTGGGCCAAAGAGATCAGTGTAATCAGAGACAAGGATCCAGCAAAACAGGATCTTGAGGCAAAGCAGCTTCGGAAAGAGTACATGAGAGAATATTGCTGGAGAGATCAATGTGGGCACGTTGTTGACAAAATGATGATGTTGTTAAGAAAGAAAGGTATGTAATTTAGCTTAACCGACTCGCTCAAACTTGTTCATGCCCGTGTGACACATAAGGCCTCAGTTCTTGTAAAATATCGGCTGACCTTAAACCCAACGATTAGCAGATTTTGAAAAAGAAGACCTTCCATTGGAAGCCACTAACCAAAGAGCCCGTTTGCAAGTTGCAGTACCGGTAAGCCTCTTTATGAAAGCTGGGCCTGAAAGTGAGTTTAACTCTGTCGTAGTAAACGCCTATTTTCATACTTCACGGTAAGTACCAGGACCTACTGAGGCTAAAGGTATTAGTGAATGGCCCATTTCTTTTTTGCACCAACTGCAGGCAGACTTTTGTGGCTTTTAATACTCTCTTTTGTTGTAAAGTCTGTTGTAGTCTCTGAAAAATGGGCTTTAGCAAAGAGTCTTTAGACTCGATGTTTTGGGTGTCCCTCAGCCCGCTTCACAGTAATTGTTCTCCTGGCCGACATTTCGATAGGTCCTTGTTCTTTTACTTTAAGAGTGTTGGTTGTATTTCCTGCATTTTGCCAGCTTTGCTCGCTCCTTACTAATTTGGGCAATCGTTACGTGTTAACCTGCTTCTAGCCTGCAAACGCAGACGTATTTTCGGGCAGAGAGAAGCAAAAACCGGAGATACGTCTGCGTTAGCAGGCTAACCTGCCTTAGTGGAACGAAAGCTAGAGTTATCTAAGAGGTAGTGGAAGTGGTGCTAAAACGGTTGACCCAGCCCTGACATGGCTGATTCATCACTGCTAACTAGTTTTGTAAGTTACTTTTCAGACAATTAGTAAAGGCTCGTTTTTTAAACAGAATATTAACGTTGTTGCAATATGTATTTTGCTAACCCTGAGAAAAAGGCATTTGTATTGCAAAGACATTTTGGGAGGCAATGATTTTCTTGAACAGCGCTGTAAACGTTAGAGTACTCAGTTTGTTTTTTATAGGCTATTTAGCTACATTTATTTATCCCACAAAAAATAACAGTGTGCGTTCCTTGTTTCTTTTTTTAAAGAAGAGTGCGACAAAGTTTCCGTTGAGAATACAGAGAAGATTGAAAATGGATCTTCTGAGACTAAAGTGCAGCACGGAGAAATTAAAAGTGCAAGGGAACGAGAACACGAAGACTCTGGTGTCGCGGAAAAGAATCCAGACAGGATGGGCCAGGAAAATGAGGAAAGTACTGAATCTCGTTATTCTAGTTTGTCAGTCAATGTCCAGGACATCCCTTTTTACCTTCTCAGTAAGGTCTGCTCAATACTGAATAAAGATGTTCAAAGGCTTGGGATAATGATGGGTTTCAGTGGACATGTGATGGGTAGTTTGGTACAGAAGAAAAATCCTTCCAGTGAACTCCTTAACTTGTGGTGTAGTGAAACCCACCAAGCAACTGTGGGGAGTTTCATTGAAATATTAAGGCGCCTGGATAGGATGGATGTAGTGGAGATTCTTGAAGACTGGGTTAAAAAATTATGGCCCAAAATAAGATGAAGAACAAAACAAAGTGAAGAACAAATTTAACGTACAATCCGAGAGTAACTTTCATGCATGCCCTCAAGACCGTGCCCATTTCTTAAGTTTATATAGACAATTTTATGGTAATAAAGATATCTCTTTTGTGATTAATCATATCTTATCAACGCGGAATTTATTGCTTTGGACGTTTTGAGAAGCTTGTTAGATAGGGGTGCTTTTTTAAAATTAGAAGAAACCAGTAAAATGTCATATCTATATTGCGCTGAAGTGAGTGGATCTGATATTTTATTTCGAAGTGGGCGGACATAAAAAAATTTGTTGCTCCTCCATATAAATAACTGTTGTGACCGTGCATAAGTAAGCTGCCTAAAATTCCTACAATTCCACGGTTATTTTCGGCTGCATTAAATTCTCCACCGCATGATCACGGTTGCTGACATGGGAAAACAACGGAAAATAAATGTAGTCCATTACATTAGAATGAACTCGTGTCAACCAAGCATGCGCTGAACACACATCACCAAATAACCAAACTTGAGCGTACACGTGCATCCAACTGAAAGTCAAGGCAGTGCAGTGCATTCAGGAACTATAAGTACCGAAATGATACACCCACAACTCTCTCTAACCCTTATAACGGACACCATTTTGTGATCCCTGCCTTTTTCTAGTCATTTTACTCTACAGTAGAACCTCAATATAACGAACCTCTATATAACGAAGTCCTCGATATAACGAACGATCTTCATTAGTTATAGTAAAACATATGGAAAAGAACCTCGATATAGGTTCCACTTTACTGAAATCTCCATAATTTTGTACAAGGAATCACGTACTGCATTTAGTTAGAAATACGTCATTTGCTTCCCCAAATCGTAATTTCCTATATTATCGAGCACCTACATTAATTTTGCGTTTATTGGTATTTTTCTATTTTCCGTTTATTGGTATGGTTTCAAAAGTGTCCGTTATTCGTCGTAGATAGGTTTCCGTCATCACCGCAAGGTTTGCAGTTCCTATACGCAGATCGGGAAGGTGTGTTTGTGTGTAATGTGTGTGTTTTTTAATGGGAACTTAAAATTCAGTTTGTTTTAGGTACATATATATACATGCGTTATCGATCAGACTTTTTCGGTCAAGATGGCTGAAACGCAAAGAAGACCGAATAATAAACGATTAATTATATGGCCAAAAAGGGGAATTTGTGTTGCAAGACCAACGCGGGAAATCCCGGGCGGGTAAGATAAGCCCATCTTGCATGAAGTGGCGTTGGTCACACGAAACGCGTAGGAGATAATAAAATAGTCGTAGCATTTGCCTGTTGTAATTTTTTCAATGTTTTTGAGCTTGGAAACAATAAAAAATTTCGACAGGCAAATGCGATGCCATTCGCGTATGCTGCAAGTGAATCCAGCCCAAATTAAGCCCATATTCTTTTAGAGTCCCACGCAGACGTTGTTAGGGGTTCGTCACGCGCTCCTGCCCCAGGAACAAGCCGAAAGAACGTCTGCGGGTGAGGCTAATATTCTTTGCCTAACGTTTCGTTTCACGGTATCTTTTAAGAGTATTTTTTGTCCAGAAAGTGCACTTTTTCGCCACCTTTAAGCCCTTTTTGACCATTAAGCAAACATGATACCTGAATTATATGCCGTCCACCTCCCTTCTTCCGAATGGAACGTCAGTCTCTCTTTCTTTGTTTTGTTTTTGTTTTTGTTTTTTTTTATTCAGCTTACGAGTGTTTTCCAGGTCTTTTATAATAGGAATACTGAACCAATCCCAAAAGTGTATCTTTCAAAACCTAAGCACTTCTTTAATAAAAGATAGCCTTTATTTAAAAACGATGGGTATTAAAGCTACATGAGCTTGTGGGGTCGTTTGAATTTAGCTAACTAATGTCAATAAGAATCCAAAAACTAATAATATATATCTAGCCGAATTTTGGAAAACATACCTCAAAACGGCCCAGAATACTCGCACAGGAACCTGGCAATAGCCAGGTTTCTGGTCACTGCAGTGAGAATAAACATAGGGGGCTTGCTGTCCTGGTTGGTCTCATTATCAAGCTCAGTCCCTGAGCTAAATCGCCATGGGTTGGGAAGGGCCTCCATGTCAATCCCTAATGGGGGAGGGTGCTGCAAAAGCGTGGTACTGTCCTTTAGTCTTGCTCTGGGAGAGTCAGTGCACTCGTCATGTCAAATTCTTTCCGTTTGAGGCCCATTGGCCAATGAAAGTATTCCCCTCAAGGACGTGCTAGGCTGGGGGGTAAAGGGGGGGAGAAGTCAGTGGCGGTGGTGTCGCCTTGAATTATCTGCTCAGAACTTGCTTAAGTCTCAAGCATCCTCTGTCATGTAGAGCCCTCAAGCAGCTAGAGTGTATGGCCAAGTCCAAAGTGTCTTTTTGATGGACTTTGAATGTTTCTTTGCTAATCAGGAACCAAGAAGAGAGTTACCTTAAGAGAACCAAGGGTAAGAGCTCAGTTTCTTGGCAATATTTACTTTAGTTGAGCCAGTTCAAGCTGTGTGGCCTCGAGGAGCCAGCTGGTGCGGTTTTCATAAATCCGGCTAGATATACACAAAATACAAAAATATAAACCGTGGAAATATTTACAAATGTGAGATTGTCAACAGGATGTCGAGTACATGCAAAATCATCTTTTCTAAAACTACAAGTAGATACGGATGTTGTCTATCTAAAGATTTAAGCTTCAGCCTGAGGTTACGATATTAAATGTCATTTGCCAGGGCACTATCATTGTAGGTCACTGCTTACCACAGGACTAAGCCTCTATGCGCGACGGAGTCTTTCATGTAGCAAGGGTCGAAGCGAGGAACAAGTAGAGAAAAGCGTACCCGGGTTGAATAATTTGTGGCCCGTTTTTAGCTCATGTATATATATATATATATATATATCTATATATATATATATATATATATATATATCTATATATATATATATATATATATCTATATCTATATATATATATATATCTATATCTATATCTATATCTATATATCTATATCTATATATCTATATCTATATCTATATCTATATATATCTATATATATATATACGTATATCGCGAACGATGTTTTTATATATACGTCCAATATAGTTTATTTCCGGCTTTTTAATGTCTCAGTATGTATATAATAAACACAATGCCACATGGAAAGTGCTTTTTACGGTATTTACGCACTCGTTGTTTTTGTATCAGAAATCGAACGAGTGAGCGCAGCGAACGAGTAAGATTTCTGATACGTCAACAACTCGTGCGTAAATACCGTACGCCAGCACTTTCCATGAAGTATTCTCTCTCTCTATATATATATGTTTTTTTTTGGGGGGGGGGGGGGGTGCAGAGGGATTGGGGGATGGGTGGGTGTAGCAATAAATGCCAATCGTCTCTTGTTTCAAAAGGCTAGGTATATATAGATTTATATATATAACTTCACAGAAGTTCAGGTTTCACGAGTAATCATCGTTTTATTGCTACAGAACTGTTTCGTATGGTGCAAGGACCACACTCATCAGGCAATTTTGACGACTGAATTGTTGGAATTGGAAGGCTGGCAGTTAAATGCGAAAATTTAAATGGTTGCTATGGTAGATGCGTTACATTCAGGTTATATGAAACTGTTGAGAGGGTTGCTAGGTAACAAAAACATTAGCAAGTTCATGCCCCCACAGAAATCGATATGTACTTGGAAACTTTAGAGTAACGTAGATTAAAGGCCGCTTATATCACATTTTTTATAACGACAGATAATCCCCCTTATATAATGTTTTTGTTACCTAGCAACCCTCTCAACAGTTTCATATAACCTGAATGTAACGCATCTACCATAGCAACCATTTAAATTTTCGCATTTAACTGCCAGCCTTCCAATTCCAACAGTTCAGTCGTCAAAATTGCCTGATGAGTGTGGTCCTTGCACCATACGAAACAGTTCTGTAGCAATAAAACGATGATTACTCGTGAAACCTGAACTTCTGTGAAGTTATAGCTGATGCTCCTCAATCAATTGAGTCGAGCGCTCTACGAAATACGTTCTACTCAGAAAACGAATATATATATATATATATATATATATGAATATATATATATATATATATATATATATATATCCTGATTAGCAAAAAGAAACATTCAAGTCCATCAAAAGACTTGCTCTGGACTTGTCCATACACTCTAGCTGCTTAAAGGTCTCTGAATGACGGAGGACCTTATATGTATATATATATCTATTCCAGTCCACCGGTTAGGAGGCCCTGAATAGATCATTTCAGCAAGTTCTAGCAGAGAATTCAAGGTTAAGTCACCCCCTGACTTCCTCCACCCCCGGATAAAGTTTAATTCAAACGTAATCTACGTGACCAGTGCACTCTCCCAGACCAGGACTAACGGAAGGTAAACCACTAGGGATTGCATCCCTTTCCAACCCATGGCAGTTAGCTCAGGGATGAACTTGACAATGAGACCCCCCACTGGCTATGGGGGTCTTATTTTCAGGTAGGTTTTTCCATTCCAGTCCAGTAGCTATTCAATCCGGATAAAGTTTAATTATAATCTATACTTCCCAAGTAAACCACTGCATCGCCACTGCCTAATGAGCCCCCACTATGGGGGTCTTATTCCATGAGCTTTTGGAGGCACTCGATCACTCAACAGAGACCTTTAGATTCTAGGAAAAAACTACTACGAGTACGAGATTTAACTAAAAAAACCCGCAGAATTAGAGCAAACGGCATGTTAAATTAAAGTAAAACTAAAAGACGTGCAGGTCTGACGACCCCACTTATTTCGATATCAGGAAACTTGCACTTATGGGCGCTAAAAAACGTCGTTTCAACGCGGAACCGCTTCGTGACACTCGCGTCGGGCTCGTTCCGAAGATTTTCGGAGTGAACAAATCGATTATTACAAACTATATACTTTAGGTGGTGACAACATGTCGAGTTTCAAGTGACAAATATATAGAAACAAAATAAGATCAACCTAAGGGAGGCTTTGTGAGCCCGCGAGACTGAGCAACCCCCACAAACCCGTAGGCGACCGACTAGGCGACCAGTAGGCTCGATCACTAGCCGCTGTTCTGACAATGAGCCCGCACTCCTTCCCCGAAAAGGGGGGTTTGCAATTGTTGATTTCCACCAATTACAATCAGATATCGTTGCTGGCCCAAGTCGTTGCGAGGGTGTTTTTTTAGTGGTGTGCGATTATGTTTTAAAGCATTTTAAGCTTTAAAACCTGAAATAGTTACAAGGGAAAGCGTTAGAGAAGCTAGTGGTACATGGTAAGGGTATTATATTGTAATTCAACCAAACTGGACCTGGATTGTCAGTCATTTTTCAGTCCGGCAGGGTGGTGTTTGGTGGGTGTTGGCCAAGCACTCATTGAAAATACTGAAACAATCGTAATCCAAAACCAAACAGGCCAAGCAGCACTGAAATCCAGGTACCACTGGATCGAAACGTTATGTTTCTAATTCTAAATCCACACCTGCTCGGCTCAGCATAAAACAGAAATGCATTGACATTATTGCGTTCACGAAAAGGGTGCCCCTCGTTCCAGTCTTTTGCACTCATGTTGTTCAATTTGAATAGAATATCTTCACATTTCCAAGTCACCCAGGACGCAAAAACACATGGTAAGAAAAAGATGGCAAAATTAAGGGCAAAAGTAACAGACTGGAACGTAGTGTGTGCACCACGAAACTTTAGATCGAGAACTTCATTGAAGTGCAAGGAGTCAAAGGCAAATACTACAAAGCAATATACACCAAACATTGCCCAATGAACTAGAAACCATGGAGTCAAAATTTGGGAAGCTGTCACAAGTTGACCATACAAATTCCGATGTATGGCGATGATGTCATTGAGACTTGCGTGACTTGTGGCACATATTTCCTGGAGGCACCCGTCGACTAAACTACGTAACGCACATGTTAGCACTACAAACACGCTGCTACAGATGAATGCCGTCAAGTAAACAATCAAAACAGCCAATCCGAACGTTCCAAAAAGCTTCCTTCTGCTAGATTCAACAATCGATACTTGAAATGCAATTGAAACAGTGATAGCAACTGCGAGAACAATAAGCTCAACATTTATAAACAACCACTCACGTGATGATACTTTCGTTTCCACAGTGGCTAGACAGAGCAAAGGTATCCGTTTGTATACTTGCCACAAAGTGTAAATCAAAAGAATGAATGTTACTGTATCAGATAACGCGTTCCATGAAGCAAATGCTAATGTTATTTCGTAGATCGTGGTATTATATGGTCTATACGGTTCACTGTTATTTGTCACGCCACTTCTTTGTGTTAGGCAACGATCCACAGAGGGCCCACAAATGCTCGGAATCAATATTTCTGCTGCCAGCGATAACAAGTTTAAAACAACAATCAATCAAACCACAAACAATACCATAGTGCTTTTCCCGTGGGTTCCACAGCCCAGTGGCTTTCGTTATGTAGCGAAAAAGTTTTCCTGAAGCAAGGACGTTGCAGCATAACCTTTCATTTTCGCGACTCTCAACGACTACATGTAAGTTTCCGTGTTGTCCAGTTTCCGTATCAGAAGATCTGCCGAGTGCTAAATTTACACCACCTCGCTCATAGGAGAGAGGATCCAGAGTGTTTTCTTCACCAAGGGGCGATAACAAAGGTCGAGATGCCATATACCAAACAGGTCCTTGGTATTTCACGTATGTAGTGTACAGGTGATTTTAGGTGATTTACAGCAACTTCCGGTATTCTTCGTCACCGGTGGAAACGCCTACTTCAAAGTTTTCATGGCTGTTTATTTTTTTCGCTAAATAAAGAACTATCCTTTGCGAAACTACTGATTCGTTTCTTGTCTCAGTGACCTGCGGTTTGTGTGAAAACAATACGCTTTGAAGGACTGGAAGAGGCACCCCTCCTCTCGGGCTTCAGTCGATGATTTATCAAGGGTCACTGGGGGAAGGATGAAACCCGGATGAAATATGACGTTTCTTCGCAGACGTGCTCTCTGGCCTCTTTTAAGCGTCACTCGTACGTAATGACGAGTGTAGTGCTAAATTTGAAAAAACAAACAAACAAACAAACAAACAAACAAAAAGGCGGGGAAAGTACCAGGGTCTGAAGGGGAGGGGGGAACCAATCCCATTTCCCGGCCTAATATTTAAACAATCTTCTCTCGAGTAAGAACCCTGATTGCAGTTGGTCACGTGGCTCCCAAAAT